GGTCAGCTCAAGATTCAAAGCTTACTGTAGATATCTCACTTGGTAAACGATAACTATGCCTCCTTCTTCCAGCAAGGCACTGTGCTGGATGACAGACACCAATAAGACATACACGGACTCCCCTAAGACATTCACCAGGGGAGAGGTTTGTGCTCCAGAAATCATTTTATATTCCCTTTCCAGGTGACAGATGAAGGAGAAGGTCATCAATTTCCATTTGTCACTAATGCGAAAGACCAATTGATTGTCTGTATGGATGACTCAATTTGGAACCGAGATGAAAAGTTACATGCTGATCAAAATTTCACAAATCAAATCACATGGTGACATTATTAGGGGAGCCCACTACTCAAAAACCCCAGGGTGGATCCTCTACGAGGCAAAGAATGTTGTTGGTATATTTGATCCTCGGTGTATCAGATATATTTAATACACAGTAGAATAAGATCAGAAACCAGTGTTTTTATTCTTCCCCCTTGTCTCTCCCAATTCTCCTATTAGCTTCATCTTTATAACATTTGAATGTTCTGTGTCGAACATTTTCTGTAAAGGAGCTCACTGGAGGAAATCAAGTAAAAAATTGTAGTTGTAAAGTGCTTGGGGTCCTAAGCAGACAAGAGCGGCAAATAAATCCAAGCTCTTGCTGCTTTACCAGACAGAGAAAGCTTATTTAGGAGTTTCAATTGCCATCATGGCCCACTGGGGCGTCTGACACCATGCATGCTGAGGGGACTTGTGCTGCCACCAGGATTAAGCCTCTCAAGTCCCCAAGCCTCAGTTTCCTCAGCTGTGAGCTAGACTTTGTGCCCTCAGAAAAGTCTTTGGAGGTGAAAGTGTCAAAAACAAGAGCCTAAAGGAGCAATAATGATTCCGCCTCTCAAGTTCTTCACCAGACAGAATACAATATATTTAATGTGACTGCTGTGACAACGGGAATCCAACTGTCCTGGGGGTCACTAGCTGCTGCAGTAGACCACAATGCAGACAGCTTTGAAGGCAGACAGGTTCAAATTTAAGTACCTGGGTGATCTTAGATGACTTAAAACTCTCTGAGCCGCTGGGTTTTTTTAATTTATGAATTATGAATAGAATCATTCATTCCAGTCTAAAGACTGACTGAGTTATTTGTTATTAGGACAAAAATGTTCACTAGCATGTAGTCAGGACCTTCAGGAAATCCCTATTCTCACTTCTAGGTAAGATGGGCATTTTGTCTGTCTTGCTCTTATCTCCACTTCTTCCCACAGTTGATCCATTTACTCACAGACAAGACCAAAAGAAAATGATAGCATCAAACATGCTACTGGGGTACTGAGTCTTGCAAAGGCCATGGTATTCATCCCTCACAGGCGCTGAACTGGAGAGATAAGCTTGCACACAACATGTGCCGGGCACTTGTGTTAAGAGGTCACTCTCCCCTGCACTTCAGAGTGTGGTGGGAAAGTTCCAGAATAACCGGAGTCCAATGCCATAAGTGCTGGAACAGAGGCAAGCAGCAGGGAAAAGGGAGGATGGTAGGAGAAAGATAAACTCTCTGGGAAGCACAGGGAGATACTGGGAGAAAGGTTTTGCAAAGAAAGCCATTTAAGTTCATGGTGACAGAGGAGGAGGAGTTGTTGGGAGCTACTTTCCAAGCAGAGGGTGGAATCGGACCATAAGCACTCGTGGCAGAGTGAGGAAAGGGGCGGAACCCACAGCAGAGCTCCTGGTACATTTGGATACCAGTGAGGAGTTCAGTGTGGCTAGCACACAGGGCAGGGACAAAGCACGAAGAGGCAGGCTGGCAAGCCCAGCCTGCATTCAGCTACCAATTACATGCTGAGCACCTAATGTAGTTGGGGACAAGGACAACAATGCCTAATGTCTGAAAATTTTCCAGGAGAGATTAGAGAAAACTGCAAGAGGAAATAACCTTCACAAGCTGTTGAAGATGACTGTCCTTCCCAGTGGCTAAGGGAGCCCAGCAGCTGGCAGCAAAAAAAAAAGAAAGTGAAAGAAGAATGGAGAACACTAGGCTCTACCCTGACTGCCACTAGCTGGGCACCTACTTGCCATGGACCTTGGCAGAAACACTGCCCACTTTTGGCCTGTTTCCTCATCTGGAAATGAGCTGGTTAGATAGTAGAACCTTCTCGTCCTTTATGGCTCTAAGAAGATACGACCACAACCTTCTTAAGTAATAGAGAACTGCAGGGCTGAGTGGGGTCTTCTCAGGGCATTGATTAACTTGTGGCTCCAGTCATCACTCAGTGGACCCAGAGGGACAGAAGCAAAATCAAAAAACATGTTCAGAGATAGATGACTGAAGGGGCTGACATATGTGTGAGAGTTTGGGGAATTTATGCAGGCAGCCTCACAGCCATAAATAAAATCTCTTTCCCTTACCCAAAACCTCATTCAGGGGGTAAACAGCGGACACTGTAATAGACAATTTGGCTGTACCTCCCGCCCTGTGCCTCACTTGAATGAAAAACAGCCATCACACCAGGGTAATGGGTCTGGCCGCCTCTGTACAAACATCCATATTGTCACCAGCGACAAGTGAGGCAGAGAACAATACCGCCTGGACAATTCATCTCCAAGATTCCTGGCCCCTTTGTGCAGCCCTGCTCTGACAGCTATCTGAGCTGAGGCTGGGAGGCTGAGGGAAACCTCAGGAAAACTGGGATGCTGGGAGCAGAGGCCCCCGGAGGCTGGGAGGAGAGGTAGCTCCTCCCTTTCCCATGAGCCTTTCAACAACTCAGAGGCTCCTGGCGCTGTGGATGCCGGTGTAGCCCATCTGGGTGCTGGGCTGGCCGCTTGAAGCACTGCACTGCATGACTTCTTGACCCGCTTCTCTCTCCATGCCAGCTCTACTCCATTTCCCCTCTGGAGGCCGTGTAACAAGCACCTCTCCATCCATAAGGATTGGGAGACTTTCAATAAGCTCCTAACTCACAGGATAACCAAGGACACTGGAAAGCTGTTGGGGTTTTCCTGACATGGCTGTTCAGATTTTCTTGTCTTTTCTTTCTTTTTGTCAGTTTGCCTTTTGCTTCCTCGCCTCTGCAGGAGACTGGACCCAGTTTGACCTTGCCAGCCAGCAGGGCCTTGGGCTGGAAATTGGCCACAAGTATCCCAGCATGAGCCAAAACTAGAGCCAGCAGTCTGGGCAGAACAGGACAAGCCCTGCTCAGAGTGTGCATATGGGAACACAGGGGTTCTCTGAAATCTACCCTCCTTGGGGTAGCAGCCAGAAGAGGGACCTCCAGGCCCCACCTGCCACTTTGCTCCTCAAAAGCAAATGTTAGGAAAGCTGAGGCTACGAGGCGCTGCCAGTTCTGGCTCAGTTCCTTTTTGCATCCCATTGGCAACAAGTGGAAACTGATGGTTACCGCTTTATCCACTATGTAAAGGGGGAAGAAAAGCGTGCCGCAAATCCTGAACAACCAGAGCTGTCTTATAAATTAAGCATGTTAAGGGTATGAGCCATTGTTGCACTGCAACGAAACAGAATTAAATTAGGGTCTGAAGTTTCTGCAGCAATAAATGAATAAGAGGGAGGGAATATTTTTGCTTTAGTTCCCTTTTTTAAGCATGCAGGGCAAGAAGTCAAAGACAGGAGGAGGGCAAAACAGAGTCACCTGTCAGCATGTCTGACTTCAGTCAGCTGCTGCTGCCTATATGTGGGGAAACGTGTCACAAGGTCCTGAGCTGCAGCTCAGAGACCTCGGGGTTGGCCTCAGCCATAGGACACCTAGCCTGGCAGGGTCCCACCTCCTGGCGCCTCCTGACCAAACCAGCACACCAGCCTTTCTCTGGGCCCTGAAGAGCCAGGCCTGATGGTGACAGGGAATTCTAAAATAGTAAGTCATTTCAGTGAACCAGCATCTGTACTCTACATTGGCCAAAAGTCTTTCTAGTTCAAGCTTAAGGCCCAGAACCTGCCTTACTTGGAATATCCACCTTTTTCCTAGCCCAGTCCAGGAAGAAGGGTGTCGTGTGGTCGTCTGTCTGGAAAACCTGCCTGGAATTTGAATCCCTGTGGAGTTGTCCCCTAACCTTGCCCTTCAGGTCCACAGTCTGACAAGTCTTTTCGTAACAAAGAAGCTGAACTTCTTAATGTTATGCCCCACTCTTCACTTACACAGACTCCAGCGCCACATACACACAGACGTGCTGATCCCTGCTACCCTCCAAGCTGTCCTGACTGTACAGCGTCCCTGTGTAGGGCCGTCAGATGACCACACTGTGTCTGCTGGATGGGGTGGTGTGCTCTTCTGTGTGGCGGGGGCCACATCCCCACGATCAGAGACCTGGCATGCTTTGGCCTCAGCCAGTGCTTCCAGAGAGCACACACTGATTTCCAGGCATGCCCACTGGGGAGGGGGTGCTGGTGGCACAGGCAGCAGCTCTGCCTGCCCACACCTACCACTCCGAGCAGCAAGGACAAAGGAGAAACTGAAGCGATCCTGGCTTCATCCAGACTGTCGCAGACATTACACACTCTCCAGGATTCTTCTGGGATCTTCTCAGACCTCTTCCCTAATCTCTAGCTCGACTCTTAATGTGCTAGGCTGAATCCATCATAAACTGTACCACAGAGCTATGAGCATCTTTATTCTAGTCACCAGGGGAGCTCAGGAGGTCAACCAGATCAGAGCTGGTGATCTGTTGCTCTCCTACCACCATTCCCACCATCACCATCTCACCTCCACCTCCTCCTCCACTTACACCACCACCACCATTTATACCATCTCCACCTCCTCTACCTACCTCCTCCACGACCACCGCCTCCACCACCATTCCCACCACCTCTCCCCACCACCACCACCTCCACTTTCATCTCCATCTCCACCCCATCATCAGCACATCCACCTCCACCTCTACCCCAGCCAAACTCAGGAGGGCAGAAAGGAGGGTCTGGACAGCTTCCCACAAGGCCTGCACAGCACATAGATGGCCCTTGTGGATGCTTGGAATCGTGGTGGGGGGTGTGCCCCAGAGAGGCCTTCACTTACCAATCCTCAGGGAGTGGGGGCTGCAGGCGACCATCACGAGCCACGCAGGAAGCAGCACCAAAGGCGCCGAGACGCGGGGCATCTTCTATAAATCCTCATGGAGCCCTCTGCTGGTCTGCGCATGACATACCTCTGTGAGAGAGGGGAAGGAGCTCATGAGTGCAGCAAGGGCAGAACCACTTGGGGAGGACAACAACAACTTGAGAACTCACAGGAACATCCTGGGAAAGCTGCAGACAAAGCCATGGAGTGCGGCCTTTGTCCTTCCTCTCTGCTCCCACCAGGGCCCAAAGCAGCCTGAAGCTTAACTCAAGCCTCAATCCACACAGGCACACTGCTATACCTGAGGTTACAGCACTGACAGAGCCTCATTTTCCATTCAAAAATTAGGGAGAGTAGTTTCTGTGTCCCAAGCCCAAGGTGCATCCTGCACAGGGCTGAGTGGGTGGGGAGGGACTCGGTGCACATGCAGCTTGCTGGCTGCGTGGTCTTCTTGAGGCTTCTCTGCCTCAGCTCAGTTTCCCTGCTTGTAACAGTGGTAACACCACCTCCTGATGGAGTTAAGCTATGAACTAACTGAGCTGCCACGAGAAGGGGCTGCCTAGACGGAGGCTAAAGGGGCATCAGTTCCTGATGTGGAGACAGAGGTTACTCCTAGTTCACCAGATGGTGCCCACATCTGGCTCTGCTGCCTGCTGCAAACCAACCCTAACCCCCACCCATCTCCCAGCAACCCCTTCCCCTCTTTCCGATGTCAAATGCAGACCTGTGCAGAGGCTGCCTGCCCCACAGCAACAGTGTCACTGACACAAACACCCCGCGACCTCCCAGGTTCTCTGACACCCAGGGTCTGCAAGCAAATAGCACTGCTCCCATCCCTGGGGCGAGGCAGCCTTGGTGAGCACCACGTGTGCTAATCTCCCATGCCCTTGGATTTACAACGCTTCTTTCTCCCACACCCTAGACAGACATTTCAATAGAAAAATGAGCAAAAGACTTGGACAGACACTTCACTGGAGAATATACCCAAATAGCTCGTATACACTTAACGCACTTGGCTTCCCTGGACTTTAGAGACATATGACTTTTTTTCCATAATTTTATTGAGAAACAAATAGCAATGAGACAGTTTCAAACCAAATTGGTAGGGCAGTTTCAATAATTAACACATTGCATACATTCTTCCTAGTGGTTAATTGCTATACAAGATGCAGACCTGATACCCTATTCACAAACACCATTAGAACAAATCCCTCTATTCATTAAGAGAATGTAGCTATAGATCTATCCTAATCACTTTGAATATACAGATACAAAATGGACATTCAGAGACATATGACTTTAAACCCTAATAATTTACCACTGTTCCCTGCCACAGTGATGAAAAGAGACAACATAAAATGTTAGAGAGGATGTGGAGCAACCGGAACTCTCCTGCAGTGTGGAAGAAGCGCGCACTCACATAACTTCTTTGGGCAAGTGGTCTACTGGAGCTTTTCACACCTCCCAACCACCTAGTAGCTCCACTCCTTGGTGCGTCTCCCACAGAAACGCGTGTACACGCTCACCACACACACGTGCCTAGAAGGCTCACAGTAGCACTCTTAGATTTCTCCAAACTGGAAACTACCCAAATACCCAGCAGCAGAATGGAGAAATATACTACATATTCACACAACAGAACATGGAAACGAATGATCAACAACTATATGCAACATGAGCTCGGTGGACTAAGCCTCTGCCTGGCAAGTGCAAGGACCCGGATTCAGTCACCGGTACTGCATGCCGTGCCAGGCCTAGAACCCCAGATGTGCCATGCCAGCCACGAAAACTTGGCATAGCTGCACACACCTCTAATCCCAGCACTGGGGAGGCTGAGACAAGAGAATCACTACAAGTCCGAGCTGCATAGCAAGACCCTGTAACGCCTAAATAAATAAATAAATAAAAATATGCAACAGCACAAATGACTTTAATAAATACAATATTTAGCAAAAGAAACCAGGCGCAAAAGCATACATATTGTAAGATTTTGCCTATGTAAAGTGCAAAACCAAATGCTCTCTGACCAATGTTCTCTGATGTCTAGTTTGAGGTCAGGGCAGACTGGCCTAAGGGGTTCCAGGGAACTAATGTTCTGCTTGGTGTGCTGGGCGCTGGTTCCACAGCTGTGTCCAGATTGTGAGGACTGATGGAGGGACACACCAAAGATATTGTGCTTCACTCTCTGTGTGCTGTTTCAGAAGTCTTTGTTGTGCACACGCTGTCTCTCCAGCATACATGGGGCACAGCGATCCAGCCACGGCTGGTGCCCTGCAGCGCTCTGGGCCTAAAGCATGCACGCCCCTTCTCCGCCTCACCCCAGCAGCTACCATGGCTTTCAGCACGGCACTTTTCCCTCCACAGCTATTGCCTTTACGTGTCTCCACCCGGTCTACAGTAGGCTCCTGACGGGCAGGAACTGTTTCCAGTTACCTGATGCCTCCCCAGAGTCTACTTGTGCACAACAGTGGCACAGGACCTACTTGCTCAATGAGCAGAAGGCCTCAAGCAACGCCCTCTGCAGCAGACACAGGGAGGCAAAGGGTGAAGGACGGGGTAAGAAAAGGCGACTCCACTGTTGGTAAATCAGGCCCAGGATACTTGTCCTTTAACATACAGGTGTTGGCACAAGGACAGATTTGAGCAAATAGTCTCAAGGGAAGCTAGACACTCTTACTCATTACAGATAAAGCTGACCACCTGGGGACTGTCTCCTCAGTCGCATGTAAACTAAACTGCAGTGGGGCAGTGTCCTTGTCTCTGTGGTCAGAGCTGTGTTCCCAGCTCAAAGGACTGAAGCGCTCAGCCTGCACCAACAAGCCTCATGCAGCCAGGAGAGGAAGCATCTGACTTCTGGCTGAAAAGAGGCACTCAATGTCACATCTTCGCTACTATTTCCTTTTACCCCTAACTTATTAAAATAGTTTAGTTAATCAAAGATGCACTGCGCAGTTTTAAGACTAGGTTCATCTGAATATCAAACTGAAACTAAAACCTCATTTTTAAAAAAATTTAAATAGAGGACACAGAGCTTTACCTTTCTGCTCTCACCGAGCAGAACTGTTAGGGGAACAGTTAGGCTAAAGAACACAGTGGAGTCAGTCACAGTGGCTCTGTGTGACCTGGAACTCTGCCCTTGACTGTCTTGGCTGCAGCTTTCCTGCCTGTAACTGAACTTGTTTGCTGGGTTAAATATGCTGAAGACTGTGGGGAAAATTCTGCAAAACACCGAGCCTTTCGCACAGGCAACATGAAGGTTCTTTAATTCTTGTAAGGTGTGGAAGCAGATCACTTCACATTATCGTGTCCACTGTCACATGGATGAAAGCCAAGAGCCACCCAGGACCTCAGACATTGTTCTAAGAGGAGGTCTCCAGGACTGGCCAGGCGTCAGGCCATGAAGGACAAAGTCTCGGCTGTATGACCTGAGTAGAGGGCTGTCATCCAATAAAGTATACCTGGGTTAATTTGATACCTGGTTGGTGATTTGCATCATAATTACTGTCCATTGTGCTGACCAGGCATTAAACGATGGGATTTGATGTAAGCAAGTGTATTTGGCATTACTTTTATCTGACTTAACCAGAACGTGTAGCTCTTTCCTCTTTGACATTTGCTTATCTACACAACTGTATTTGTGGGGGCTGCAATGTTTGTCAGGCACTTTCTAGGTCCTTTGCACGAGTCCAACTTGCACGGCAGAGATTTCCCTGACAGACTCTTGTTGCTGAGGGTGTTGTTCTGGGCATCCTGGGGTGACCATGCCAACAGTGGAGCAGAGTCTGGGTTGGACTGAAACATGGTTAGATCTGAGTCTGGGCCTCATTAAGCAGATAGTTCTGGGTGCCACAGCCCTCAGAGCTTGCCTCTTCACCTGCCAGTAGCACAGGAAGAGCAATGCCTACCTCCCGGTAGGCACAGTGAACACAACAACGTGAAGTGATCTGCTTCCAAACCTTACAAGAACGAAAGAATCTTCATGTTGCATGTGTGGAAGGCTCAGTGTTTTGCAGAATTTTCCCCACAGTCCTTATTGTACTTAACCCAGCAAACAACATCAGGGAACAATTTGCACCACCACAAAAGCAGGAAACAATTTGCACTTTTCCGCCTGTGTCTCCAGTGCCTGGCACAGGCTAGCACATAGTAGGTCTCAGAAAATAGCTGTTAAATGAAATAATTCAATCAGAGAATGTCCACGGAAGATGCTTTGGCATCTACCAAGAATCTTAACTCTGAGGAGTTACACTTAGCATTCTTGCCCACAAGGAATTTACAGTTTCCTTATACATGTTCCACCCAGGCAAGCTGTCTTCCTTTGACCCTCTGACCCCCCAGCAGGCTTGAGGGTACCATTTATCACGCAGCCCTGTGACAACCTGACAGAGGCACTGGGCTGGGAGACTCACCTCTGATGCGCCATGTACCTGTCCAGGACACCTCCACACCCTAACACCAAAAATCGGACACCTCACTTTTTCTAGAAGAGAATCTGATCTGCACTTGGACATAAGTACAAGATTGCTCAGCTTTTTCAAGGCACAGGAGCCCCCTAAATAGATCCCATCATCTCTGCTCCCCCATTCCACACTGCTATTGTGAAGAGAAGTCCCCATAGGACAAGGGCTTCATCCCTCAGATTCACAGCTCTGCTTCCAGGACCTTGGACAGCGCCTAGCACAGTGCTGTCCAATGTGCAAATGAATGAGAGGCTGTTTAACTTGGCACGTATTTCTCCCATGGGGGATGGGGGCAGGGAACCACTCCTTCAGACACACACCTACCTGACATGCTTGCTATGAAGCTACACTGAGTAGAAACTCAACAAATGCTTGCAGACTCACACACGCAGCCGACTGACTGTACTCACAGGCACGGCCTGTCTGCAGCTCCCTGCGTATGTGTGGTGTGCACACTGCTCAGCCCTGCCCAGCTCTGCTGAATGGCCTCCCTTCTCCTGACTTAGAGACAGTCTCCAGCGCTCGCTCCCTCTCATTCTCATGCAGGTACTACATCATTAATCGTAATTTTCCCAGAGTGGGACAGCGAGAATGCTGACAGCCACCAGACGGAGTCTGGTGGTGGGGAGGACAGAAGAAATCAGAGGGGCAGCCAGATTAATTACAGGTTTTCTCTCTACTGTGGGAAACAAGGTCTTGATTACTCTTCCTGATGCTCCAGGCTCCTCAAGACAAATGGATGTGAGCTTCTTTGCTGTCCTGGACTCCGCCTGCCTGGAAGAAACTCCAGGCCACAGCCAGCAGCTTGGATGGAGTGCATAGGATAGCAGGGAGGCTGGAGTCAAGGAATGGGGCCAGCCTAGGCTCTGTGGCCTCCATGAGGGACAATTAACATTCTTTCCCTAAAATATTTCAGCAACACTTGGTAGATGCCTTGTCTCCCTGGCAACAGGGAGATAGACACCAGGATGCAGGGCTGTCCTGGGGTCACCTGCAGCAGTCAATCCTTTGAGCCTCTATTTCTGGTGCTGAGAGAGAATTACATGAAATGTTCTCTAAGGTTCTTTTGAGCTCTGAAATTCTTCAGTTCTTAGAAGTGAATTCTGTGATACATAATATTTATCAAATATTTAATATGTGGAAAGTACTGTTGCAAGTTCATGTGCTCCTCAAAAGAACCCTATAAGGTAGACACACGCACTTTCCCTAGGTGCACACGCAGAACCCATGGGCAGAGAGGCTGACAGACTTGCCAAGCCATTCATCTGGTGACTGCAAGAACCAGGTATTGGCTCAGGACCATATTCTCTTTGTGTCCTAGAGCCCAGTACATAGTCAAGCTTGATGCAATGCTGGAATTCAGCCATGCCAACTACAAAGATGCTGGAGAACAAGACAAGTTCAAGACAAGTACCCTGTGCTCATCTCTCGTGGGGTCTGGGCAAGTAACAGAAGAACAAGTCTCAGAATGTGCTTTGGTTAAAAAGTAAAAAGGAGGCCGGCCAGACAGCTCAGCAGACTAAAGTGCCTGTTTAGGCACAGCGCAGTGGCCGGGGTTCGATCCCCGCTGCGCTGTGCTGTGCTGGCCCTGGCCCTGGGGCATGCTGAGATGGAGATTGAGACTGGGTGTGGTGGTGCACGGCTTTTATCCCAGTAATTGGGAGGCTGAAAACAGGAGAATCACTACGAGTCCAATCTACATAGTGAGATCCTGCAGACCCTGTCCTAAAATACATTTTAACAAAGTAAAAAGGAAGAAGGGTGGGAGAGGGAGAGAAG